AGACTCTATGAGGTCCCAATCATTCGGATATTTTTGAGTTAAGTGTAAAGTCAGCTCAAGAAGCCAGCAGACTTGCAGTTCCGGCAGCTTTGCTTTTAGAATAACTCAATTCCCCTCAAAGCAATGGGGGGCAATAAGATTACAGAATAGTACACGAACAGCTAACCACAAAACAATGAGAGTAAATCTTAGAAAAGCATAATAGACTGCATTGAAAGGCAAGTTGGATTGTGTTATTGTGTTAGAGCAGAGTAGACTACATTGAAGAGCAAGTTAGGTTGTGTAATTGTGTTAGAGCAGAGTAGACTGCATTGAAGAGCAAGTTGGGTTGTGTAATTGTGTTAGATCAGAGTAGACTGCATTGAAAAGCAAGTTGGATCGTACTATCGCATTGAGCAGAATATACTATATTAAAAGAACGAGTTAGATTGTGCTAGAAAGCAATTAGAGAAAGAGGGAAAACTGGTTCATTTACACCAGTATGTTTACCATTCAGACGAATCAAGAAAGGCAAGCCAAGTTTACATTCCCCAATAGAAGTTACAAATGCTAGCTAAAAAAAAAAAGAAGAAAAAAAAAAAGATCCTAAGCTTTTGAAGAGGGAACAGGTGGAGGATCCTGCAATGAAGTAACTATAGCCTCAGCTGCGAGAACAGAGGTAGAGCTCGACAGCTCACCAGGCAACCCTTCTAGCAAGGCAGCAGTTGAAATTTCAGAAGAGCCAAGAACAGGTGAGGAGACTGGGGCCTCGATTTCAGATAGAGCTCTCGTTACCAGATCAGTAGAAAAGGACGTATCAGCTAGAATAGCTGGAGGAGTGGACATTTCAGTACTTTCCAGAGCCCTATCACAGGAAGTGGGAAACAAGGTGTTGTCATCACCATCTGAAGCAGACTCCTCCAACTCCTCCTCAGTGGGGATGGCAAAGTCGAAGTCATGGTCTGAGTAGGTTTTCTCCGCTTTGCATTGAAAGGCCAGTCATTCTGAGGCCCACTTGGTGGTCACGCCATCCTTCAGCTCGACTATTATGTCATCCTTCTCCTTGACAACTGTCTTCTGCACCTCAAGCTCACCGCATAGGCCCTCATTCACCTCAGTCAATATAACATACTCCTTCCTAAGGCTCTCGAGGGAGGCCCAAGCATCAAAAGGCTTCTTGGCTAACTTTGTTCTAGGCATTGGTTTTGAGTAGCAGCTCTTCCCTGGTCATCCTCAGCTCATCCCTAACCTTCTTCTCTCTTTCCTCAGCCTTATCCTTAGCAGCTTGAAGGCCTTCGTAGTTAGAGGCATGCTTCTCCATTTGCTCCTCGAGCTTCTGCACCCGAGCTCTGAGGCTCTCATTGTCAAAGGTCAGCTCAGCGACCTTAAATTCATATGTTTTCAAAATTTTGGCAGAATCCTCCAAAGATCGGACAATACCCATCACTTGATGAAAGAGACCTCAGGAGGCATGGTAGAGGCCCTCTGAATATCAGATTCAAGAAGAATGGATGAAATGGCCCCAGCAGCATTGTCGAAGAAGGAATCTTCTTCAGTCTCTTGGCCCTCCCTCCTTTCCTCTTTGGGACCCTAGAGAGGTAGCTAGAATGGTTGCTCAGGCGGTCCGGGGGGTGCAAGATCTAGCTTGATTCCAATAATCAGCCCCAATGTTCCCTCAACCTCAGAGGTAGAGGAAGCCAGCCCTGGCTCGGAAGTCTTTTGGATGGCAAATTGGGCCCCTTGAAAAGGAGAAGGGCAGGGATTGAGATGAGGAAGTCTGTCCTCCCTTGCTCAGGACAAAAGAAGAGGGCACTCCCAGCTTCTGCACTTTAGCTCTGTCAATAGGGCTGCCTCCAGAGCTGGTATCGGCATTCCGTTTGCCACTTTTTCTACTCTTCTTCAGTAGGTCAACTTTGGCTTGGAGTTCCTCAGGGGTAAATTTCATTATGGAGGAGCCTGGGAGATCTGGACCAAGCAAGTTAGACAAGAGAAAGGAAAAAAAAGGAAAGACAAGGGAACCAACTCAGAAAGTATCACCTTCTATGTCTTCAGGCCTAATAACTGAGATAGGGAACGGAGCTTCAATCGATACCTCAGGAGGACTGAATCCCTGTGTTACTAAGACCCAGGGCTTGATGAGCTCGGAGTACTTCTCTGGGTTGCACTTCTCCAACTTTCGCTTTACTCTCTCGTTCTCAGCACTGAGCTCTGGTCGAATGCCTAAAAAACGACACAAAGAGAGCAAAGGTCAAAAAGGCGACTCAACGATTCCCAAACTAGAGCTCAATCAGTTCGAGCAAGAACTAACCTAAGTTATCAGGGGCGGACCAAATTCTAGGGATACCCAGAGTATCAGTCATGTCAGCAGGATTGTACTCCCAGTTGGTTCCCCCAATAAAAAAGAATTGTTTCTTCCAACCTTTATGGGAGCTCGGGAGATGAGTAATGATTTACCTAGCCGTGGTTCACTTGAAAATATATAAGAAACCCTCTGATGAGGTGAGCTTGACATTAAAGAGATCCACAAGCAAGGAAAGGCTAGGGACCCCGAGTCCATGAATCTTGAAGAAGACCAGAAGACCCATAAGTACACCCTAGAAATTAGGGGAGAGCTGAGCAGGATAGACATTGAAGTGTTGCAAAACACTCTTAATGAAGGGATGCATAGGGAAGCGAAGGCCATTCTCAAAAGTTGCCGCAAAGAAACATACCCTCTTGTGAACTTGAGCAACGTATGGAGTGTATTTATCTAGACACCAGGGCTAGACACCAGGAGAAAAACCGTAACGAGCACTGAGAACTCTCACATGAGAAGAGTCAACCTCACTGGGTCCTACGAGTTCAGCGTGCCTAAAGGCGGCTCATATGCCCGCTGCGCTGTCAGAGACTCCTATTCCACTCACTTTGCCCTTACCTTTGATAGGATTAGGGGGCACGAAAGAAGACGATGGGGATGGCTCTTCAGTATCTTCCTTGGCATCGACAGCATCCACACCGAAGAAGTTGTCGATTTCTTCGCCTACATCCCCCAAATCAGTGTCCTCTTCGGCAGACCTTTCCCCCGAGAGAGAAGCAAAAGAGCGTGTAACTCTGGAAGGAGTAGACATGACTAGACAGGAGTAAGGTAAACCAAAAGAATGGTAGAGAGGTGGAATACCGATTAAGCACTCCCTAATAACCTTAGGGTTAGTATAGTAGCTTCCAATAGCAAGGATTCGCACGATAAAAGACCAGTCCACGAAGTGGGGGAGATGAGACAAGCAGTAATTTTGATTCCAAAAGTAAAAGAACTGAAAGGCCTAGAAATGCAATAACCACCTCAAATTCAAGGGATCCAGAATGAAGAAAGATGAAAAAGGGATAGAAGGGCGTACCTAGGGGGAAAGAACAACGAACAGCAACCTGGAGCAAAATGGAAGAAAGAGGGCAATGCGAATCCTCAAATCGAACCCACAGAACTTGATTTTGAACGAGGAATCAGAGAATTTCAAACCAGAAAGCCAAGAAATCACAAGAAGAGAGGAGCAACAAAGAAGTTGAACAATGGAATAGGGCGATTCAGATAGTCGTTTAAGCATTTAAAGCTTGAAAGACGTGGACTGAGACGTCTGCGAGAAACAAGGACGCCATGATTGCTGAAAGTCGCCAAAAAAGCCAAACTCACGTGCGGGCCAAGGTCAGCCATGTGCAGATCCTACTTGATTTACAAAAAAGCTCAACCCCTGCCCAAGCCAGCTAGAACCAGGGGCTGGGGGGCAACTGATGATACCTCAAACAAGCCCTAGCTATGAGGTCAGGTCAAGAGGTCAAGAAAGACATAAGGAACTCAGAGAACTAGGAGTGGAGTTTCCCTTGGGGAGATCGTAGCTGAACCGATCAGGCAATAACTGGATGACTACGGCAATTGGGCCCCATGCGTGAAACTCCCAACCAATCAAGATTCTCTCCTAAAATTAAGGAGGATCCCATGAATAATGGGTAAAAATCTCAACCAAAATCCCACGGAATAGAGGGCAGGCTTATAAAAACTACGCAATGCCTCATCGCCAAAGAGAGGAAAAAAAGGAGAAAAACCCTAATCAGTTTAGTATTGTCTGGTGTTACATTCGACTAATCAATAGAGAAGAAAATGAGCAAAAACCTCCATTGAAGAGTGGACTAGCCGAGCTTCTGAGCCGGTGAACCACTATATTTTCACTATGTACACCCCTTTAATCCCCTCAATATTTTATTATAGCATCATACATGAGCCTCGTAGCTCTGATCCACGCTCATCCCATGTTACTTGCACCTTAAGCTCATCCACGTTGATTTACGCCATCAAAACTGAACAAGTTTGAATTAATAAACTCTGCTTTATTTGGAAATATGTAAAATTTCAATATATGGTATGAAAATTAATTTTGATATAGTATACACACTAAGTATTTGATATAGAATGACCTCGTGGATTAAAACAGCTTAGCTACACCACTGTTCGCTCCCGTTATAATTATTAAATCCTAGTTCAGTTCTTGTTTTGAGGCTGAGTGTATACTCGTGGTCTTTATTTTACAAATGATTAGGATAATTCTTGATCATTAAAGAAAAATAGTCATAGCATTCTATCTATATTGAATGGACAAGAAATTGATTGGACTTAAAGTGTGTTTGGATTGACTTAAAAAAAAGTGTTTTTTGAACTTTTGACTTATTCCCAGCCCCTAGAAAAACATTTTTTTTCATTATCACACCATCATCTCTGCAAAGCATAATTACTATTTATTACTCATACAATTCGGTTTACACCATCAATTCTTTTGAGAACCTAAATTTCTACTAAATAAACTGTTATATTATTGTTAGGAATGGAGTGCTCATTCCTATAAACTGTTTAATTAAATCCCTCTTAGAAAATTTATATTTGATTTGTTGAAATATAAACTGTTTGATTTGTTCATCAGTGAAAGAGAATTGGGAGGATCTTGCACTGTTGAAAGTTAAAGCCTCAGTATATTTAGGCTCCTTATGGGAGTTAAGAGATGACTTTTCAAGTTCGAATGGCTATTGCGAAGGATCTAAAAGGGTTTCCAGTTTGTAGAAAGAAGAAAATTTTGGTATATGATGAGTGGGGAGGTTTGATCTGTGCTGGTTTTTTTTGGTATGGTACTGATGCAAATATGGGTCTGAGTTTAGGGCCTTATTGGATGGCCTAGAGATGGTGAGTAGGTATGGACTGAATGTTTATGAAATATGGATTGAGTCAGACTCCTTGGTTCTGGTGAAAACTGTGAAGGGATTGATGGGCTGTGTTTGGCGCCTGCTGGGCATCTTGGATCAAATTCAGCTTTATTTGAATGGATTGAAGTTTACTTTGAAACATGTGTTTAGAGAATCAAACTGTGTTGCTGATGCATTAGCTAATAGAGCAATACATGATGGTTTTTCTTCTAAGTATGCTGGTTCTAATCAGTTGCATGTGGCTGTGGGTCAACGATTGCTTCAGGACCAGAGAGGCTTGTCTGTTCTACGCACTAAGAACATTCTGATGTTTGATGATCATGGTTGTGTAGCAATTTGGTGCAGTAGGGGGATTAACTGAAGCTGTTAGCTCTGTTTGTTGTCAGATGCTGGATCTTGTGGTTGATGCGGATGCAGGCTTATTGAGTGGGTGTTCTGGAAGTGAGGTCTGGCTCACCATGGTGGAGGAAGGATTACAAGGGTGTATTGCCTTTGTAATGGCCTTAATTTCTAGCCAGGAAGCTTGTTTCCTTGGAGTAATTTTGTTTTCTCTTGAGAATTTTGAAGGTTTCAAGCCTTAAGTATTTTTTTGAAAATATCATTGTTAGATTCTTGTAAATTGTTGCTTCTTGTAATTTTTGATTTTATTCAATAAAATTATGTGTTTCTGTTAAAAAAAAAATTATTTTTTGACTTTAGTATGTCATTGGGATAGTTGGACTATGTAATTTTTTCGTATGATACCTTTATTAATATGATATTTTTGTGTATAATATATTTTTTTTTGTGTGTGTATCATTACATGTGTAGTGTATCTTTGTATATGTGCATTCAATGCTATTAACAATTATGATACAAGTAAGTGTTTTCATATCCAAACGTACTTTTTATAAAATATATTAATTTAAGTATTTTAAATTTTGAATATCCAAACAATACTTATTTAATAGAAGTGTTTATAAGAAAAACACTTTTGATAAACATTTATTAAAAAAGTACTTTTTGGATTTAATAAGTCATCCCAAACACACTCTAAGTCATCCTAAACAAACTCTTATTCAATGAAATTTTCTCCATTTAAAACACATAATCAATTATTGCCCTAAACAGTATTGAATTCTACACGGGATAATTCCTGCAATAGTATGAGAAAGTGATCTCCAAGCTGGCGAACCTGAAACAACAGAGTTAGAAAAAATGGGGCTAGGCAAGCGCCCGGCTAATCCCCTTTGAAACTTAAGTCAGTATAAAGTCGAAGGGTTTTGCTCAATGGACTATTTTTCTAATTCAAGTTTGTGACCTTTTGTCCATTTTTTTTAGGAGTATTTATACCTGAACTAGCAATGATTGCCAAAGATCTCCAGTCTTATCTGAACATCTTACATCTGACACACCATTTCTCGTGCAATGATTGTTTTCTACTCACGTCTCCTCCTATTGAATGTTAGGAAAATGGGGTAAATGCTCGGCCAAATGCCGAGCATTCATGCCACTCCCCGACTACCCATATCCCCCAGATCGGCATCCGACATCAACTAAGCATTGAATACTCGGGGGGAATAGTTCCTCGGGGGAGCTAATCGCGTCATCTCGATGCATCAGACATTAATACTTAGCCATCATGATAGTAGGCTTAGACTCCTAGAGGGCAGCTGCTGGCAGGCTCACATTTATTTGTCTTGTCACTTTCACTCATTCCGCCATAAATGAGGGGTCACATCACATTAAATATGATATCAACTGTCATACCCAGCTGCTCATTGTCACCATACCTCGACGCCCTTTGGACATCCCAACGGCTTCATTAGTCCATGTGTCAACCCGAGGGCTATAGAGCCATCTAGAGTCCCGCCAACTGCCCCCCAGCCGCCATCCTTTTCACAGTGTAAGACAAGTGGTGTAAAGGGATTGGGGGCTCCCTCATCACGCCTTATTAATAGCAACGGTTACTTGCACGTCTGGTGCCGCCCTTTGCAAACGCCCTAATGATGACCCAATTTTTTGATTCCCGCTCCTTGTGAGGCAGTATAAGTAAAAGGTTTTCATACCTTCTCAGAACTTTTGCATTATCAACCTCTCTTCAGCAGTCAGACCCCGAATGCTCCTTTGTTCTCCTCTGAGTTTCCTTCGTCCTTCGAGCTCTCTCTTTGAAGACCACCTTCCTATAAGTACCTCTACTTGACCTTTTTCTCTCTTCATTTCTACTACATTTCGTCCTTTTAGCACCCACCAATGGCTAGAACTAGTAGAACAAGGGGGGAGACGTCTGTTAGGGCTAGGACTACCCACAAGATGAGGAGAACTCAAGTGACCGATGAGAATATTCAAGCCTTTAGGGTTAGGTACCACATCCGTGAGCCTGTCTTCACTTTTCCCTTCAACCCCACTCACCATAGGAGGGATATGGGAAATGTAGACATGATGCCTTTCTGAACGAAGGCCATCATGGAGGCAGGGTTGACCTTCCCCCTCCATCCCTTGTTGCTAGGAGTGTTGATGTAACTGAAGCTCTTTCCCCTTCAATGTGGGGTTAACTTCTTTAGGATTGTGAAGGGCGTAGTCACCTTAAACGCTTGGCTAGGGACCAACTTAGGAGTAGATACAATTTTATTCTGCTACGACCTAAGGCTAGTCGCCGGGGGGGGCGATATTACCTCCAGGCTCAAGACGCCTCAATGTATCTGGTAACCCACATGCCCAACTCGGACAAGGGGTATGTAGACTATCTGATTATGCTCGGCGAAAGTTGAGAGAAAGGGATCGGGCCCGAGTATGACAGATTGTACTGCCCCAAAGTACCGAGGGATGAAGGTGTGTTTCTTTTTTGACTTCTTTATTTTTTTATTCTTGGGTCCGAGGGATGCACTGATTTTGCTTTGCTTTTACAGAAGGATATCGTCGGGACGTCGCTCAATCGTTGAGGTCCCAAGTCCGGTTTGCCGACCTGCTAAGGGTTTGGTCCTTGGGCCCAGTTGAGCGAGTGGTGCATACTCTCCTCGTATACACGCCGACTTACAGCCTATTCTCCCAGATCCCACCTCCTTTTAACCCTTCTGTTTGGGAAGACCATTCCTCGTTGAAAGAGGAAGAATCCGAAGGAGATTCTGAAGAAGAGTCTGATCATCATGCTGCCGAGCTCCTTGCACCTGGCATGTTTAATCCGCCACTAGTCACTGCTGCTACAATGGAGGCCGCTACTGCGGCCAGGAGAGCCAGGCTGGCCGGGCCTTCCAACACTGCCCTCGCCTAGTTCTCCTCAGAGGCAATCGCCGCCGTCGTTGCCGCCGCCGCCGCCGCCGCCATCGCGTACGCAACCATCCAGGGACCCAGTAGTGCCAACTAGGCAAAGACCTCAATCTCAACAAGTCCCAGCTCCGAAAGACCGGCTGAGGGATAAGTGTGCCTGGGACGCCGAACAATCTAAGGAGCGCAGTGTTAAGCGACAGTATGACGCCTTGGCCCTGGGCCCGTCTATCTTGAGCGAGTGGGTCCCTCGAGCAGAGACTAGGAGCGGGCGCCCTATTTTGGAAGCCGACTCGATCCTCCAGTCCCTCGAAGTGGCGTTTGTCGTCGCGGGAACGCTTCAATTTGATGCCGATATGGTCGTGTACAAAGGTTACTTGGACAATCGGCTTCTGATGAGCACTATCCAAAACAATCTAGTGGTAAGTTTAACACTTTCCTGAGTATTCCTCTCACCCTTTTGGTTGTTCCATAATATTCCTCCTTTTCTAGGCCAGCCAGCAGGTGGGGGCCATAATCGAACATTTTTGGAAATATAAACAAGAGGCGAAGAACGCCGAGCGAGCCATAGCTGCTAAGGACGACTACATCCTTAAGGTTGAGAGGACCTCGGTGACCGAACTAAGCACATCACTGAGCTTATCCGCCACCAAGATACGGTTCATGTTGAGCTGAAAAAGACCAAGGTGGGTGAAGTTGCGATGACAAAGAAGGTCGAAGAGTACGAGCTGCGAGTGTCCTCCTCCGAAGCCAAGCTGCAAATGTCAGAGTCTGTAATCAACGCTCTTACTGCCAAAGTGGACTCCTTGACAGCAGAGAAGGCGGGAGAACAGGAAAGGCTACAATCAGAATGTCAGAGGGTGTGGGCGGCCACTCAAAACCAAATTGTCCCTACTTTCAAGGAAGCCAAAAAGAAAGCTTTCAAAGAAGGTTGGGACGCCGCCCTTCATGTCTATCATGTCGAGGTAGGCTCGGACTTGTTCACCATGCACAGCCTACGACGGGAGCCCGACGATGAAGCCCTGGACGAACAGGTCCGATCCAACCTAGGTGACCACGTGGAGGCAGAAGGGCCGATCAAGGCCGAAGGTGGGAACGATCCCATCACACTCAACGACGGTTTTGACCAGCCTTTTCCTGCCCTTTCGTCTTTGCCACCTACCGAGCCAACAGATGATCTTCCCCCTCTGCCCCAAATCATTATTGAGGTACATGATACCGAGCTAGATGAGATATTGGGGGTCAGAGACGAGCTACAAAGGCGGCGTGGAGGCCTCGATGGGGGAGAAGTCAGGGAGGAATGAGCCGAGGGCCTTAGCAGCTGGTGGCCTGTCATTTCTATTTCCCATATTTGTTTTATAGCTCTTTGTAGCTCTTCTTTGTACAGAATTTAGTTACTATTTGTATGCTTGGGGACGCAAAGCCCCTTTTTGATGGCAATGAACTTCATTTTCTCTACACGTGTCTTTTCTTTCCTGCATTAGTCGTGTTTCAAGGAAATGGCCTTGACGTTACGTCAATAAAGACCTTCTAAAGTAGTAAGGCTTCACGTCGAATTCATAAAAGTAGACTCATAGAACTTTCTATTGTCTTTGGACCCCTCGGGACCGAGTATATATGGGGGTGGAGTCTTACACCCCTCGAGGTCGTACCCTAATGACTGAGCGTCTGGCTCGTGTCAGTAATTTGAAGGCGTTGCTCTAAATAAGAAGTCTTACACCCCTCAGGGCCATACCCCTAACGATTGAGCGTCTGGCTCGTGTTAGTAATTTGAAGGCATTGCTCCAAGGGTGGAGTCTTACACCTCTCGGGGCCGTACCCCTAACGACCGAGCGCCTGGCTCGTGTTAGTAATTTGAAGGCGTTGCTCCAAGGATGGAGTCTTATACCCCTCTGGGCCGTACCCCTAACGATCGAGTGTCTGGCTCGTGTTAGTAATTTAAAGGCGTTACTCCAAGGATGGAGTCTTACACCCCTCGGGGTCGTACCTCTAACGACCGAGCGCCTGGCTCGTGTTAATGCAACCACGAAGACTGAAACCTGATTAAGTAGTAGTATTTCTTTAAATTTGACACATTCCATGGCCGGATTACATCGTCACCGTTCATATTTTGCAATCAATACGCGTCTGTGCCCCCTATAGAGATCACCTTATAAAGGTCCTTCCAATTGGGACCCAGTTTCCTATCAGTAGGCTCGCGCGTATTGTCCACCACTTTTCGTAGTACCAAATTTCTGACTTGAAAATCTCTCGTTCGAACCTTCTTCCGGTGCTGCCATGATAATTCCCCTTGCTACCTCGCTAGCCTGGTTGATGTCGATGACCTCCTTTCCTCTGT